GGTACATTTAAAAAATTGATTTACTTAAGTTTTTGTGTTTATTTATATTATTATTAACATAATACTAATATGGTAAGAAACAACACAGATATTGTGTAAAAAGTGATCGCAAATAAGTAATACTAAACAAACAATAAAAGTATATATTTTTAAAATATAATTAACAATTTAATATCTTAAATTAATAAGTATTTCATTCATTTATCTTAGAATTTAATTTTCAAACACATTATATTATTTACTCACTCATAAATTATGCCATTTTAACATTAAGAAACGTTGAATTTTAATTTAATATAAAATCTTTAAATAACATTATCACATAATTAACATTCAAATAAGTTAAAAAATTCAATATAAACTGTTAATGAATGTGAATGAACCATTTCCAACATAACATTTTTTATTCTTCTTTTCTGTAAAATTTTAATTTCTTTTAAAAAAATATATAAATTAGCCCGATGTAGATAATATAATTAGTTCAAATATCCGTGTGCTCAAAAAAAAAGCATATATTTGCGGCATAAATAAATGATAAAATCTTTAAAAAAGACACAAGTGAGTGCAATATTTGGACTTAACAATTCCTTTCATTTTATTTCATTTTATTTCATTTCATTTTATTTCACATTTGTTATATATCTGTTCAATTTATATTTAAAATATTGTTATTATAGGAATAACAAATATATTGATTGAGAGATTTTATACACAAACTGATAACATATTAAACATAGATACTGGATGCAAACAGTTGCTTTTAGCTTACTCAGCAAGTACGGGATCAAAATAACGTTCGCCAACATTATGAAGTAATAGTACTTCTAAATACAATTAGTTGCAAATCGATCAGAAGCATTTTGCGATTACCAATCTAAAGCATGAATTTTGAAATTGATGCTTCCACATTGGTGGTCGCAACAAATTAGCGATTAAAGATTATTTTGATTTTTCTTGTTATTATAGATATATTTAGATTTAATATGATTTGAATATTTATTTGTCTCTATATATTTGTCTCTATATATATTCTGGCATTGACATTCATAGTTTGTTAGAAATTGAAAAAGATTCGAATATTACATCTATAATAACAAAAGAGATCAATATCATTTTTATAAAGATTAAATAATGAACACGTTCTAATATAAAGAAGTTTATAAATGAAAAAAAGATAATATTAAACAGATGTTGGAAGTAAATTATTGCTTCATAATGCTAGTGAATGTTATCTTGATTCCGTTTTTTCTGGATAAGTTAGAAAGTACAATTATTCATATTCAACTTTACATGTTCAATATCATATTTATCAACTTGTACGTTACATTTCTCAACACATACAATTATCAGATTTTCTAAATAGTTCAATTCTAAATTAAAATTAGAAAAATATATTTATATAAAAATATTGTAAAATTAAATAAAAGGAAATATTAAGTCCAAAGCATTTTTATAACACTTTTCAAAGATTTTGTTATCTGCTCATATCACAAATATTTCTTTTCTCAGAGTATGCGGATATTTGAACCAATTATTTATACACCATGTCTGTACGATGCTTTATATTATTTTATGTATTATTACATATTTTTTTAGGAAAAATTTAATTTAAATGCTATTGCTAAAAATGTGGATACAATAAATTTTGAAAAAATAAATTATTACAAAAATTAATGTCTGTAACAATAGATGCTGTATCTAATTTTTGTTTATGTATTATTAGGTATCCTCACAAATGTTTCAGAAGATTCATATTTTAATCCAGAATATTTATACGAGGTGAATCAAACCAAGATAGAATAGAGGAGTTCGACAACATAACAAAAATAATCTCTACAATAATCATCCCTTTCAAACAAAAATTCTGCACTGTTACTTGTATGATATCATGTCAATGACGTCGAACTATCAAAATTTGAACGAAAAGTTGAGTAATCTCCAAGGAGAGTGGTTTGAGATGGAATTCGATAATCATGATGTATGATTGCATCCATATCTAGTAAAAGTTTTTTATACATGAATATACAAGGTGTTCTATAAGTTTTTGCGAAGCGCTTTTGTGTAGATAGAACAAATTAAACTGATAATGAGTCAAAAAGTCCTCTAGCATTTTGCAATTTTTGCAATAGTTAACAAGATATTAATTACTAAAAATTGTCGAATTGGTGGTGATGTACAAAATTACAAAAATATTAATAATTAATAGGAGAGAAAGAGAGAACAAATTGAATGTGCTGAATATACTCGATTAAAATAAAACACATGAATGTTTATCGCAAGTCAATGATAATTAAAATATAATTTAGCTTTTTACAAAACAGTGACAAAAACATGTAAACCATTTGATATTGAATTTCAACTTTAGATTCAAAATAATTTATTTCTAAAAGTTATTTCAATCTAATTTAAAAAAAAATCGAATTCTTAACTTTAGAAATTGAAAGATTAAAAAATTAGAAATTACGAGCGCAGAAACTACTTATTCCTGATATATTTCTGATTGATGTCATTCCATTATGGAAAACGTACTAGTGTACTAGTATACGTTACGTATACTGTATTTTTCTAGAATTTCGTATACGTTTCTTTTCAGAATAGAGGCCCTGATACATTAAATTGCCTGGTACATTAAACAATTACAATCGAATGTGAAAAGAATAATCGATTCATTTATTTCTTATGACTTAAGGTTTAAAATCTGTTATAGATCTAGGTTTAAACGCTTGTGATCATCATTTTGTCTTTTATCGTTCATTAGACGTAAAATAAGAATAGAAATACTGAAAAGCATTAAAAGCGTTCAAATCGACCACAGCCTAGAACTTTAGTCTCTAGTAATTCATCCTATGATTGCATTGGTTACATTCAGCAGTTAAGTGAGTGCTCGCTGTTATTAGTGTATTCTTTTAGATCATCCAATCAATTTTTTAGATCTGGAAGAATATATCAATAGCAGCGAGAGCTTACTCAACGGTTGAATTCGCTGAACGCAGCCATTGACTGCAATTTGCCGTTTCAAATTCGTTGAATGTGATTCGTTCTGTTTATTCATTTATTCGTTTATTGCGCATCGCGCTGCGCTCGTCGATCTACCATAACCTGCAAATCGCTCATGTTGTCAAGTCGAGCGAGTTTGCGCATCCGACCGAATCGCGACCTGTGCGAAAGAGTTATCCTTCGTAATTTTTTATTAAAACTTGGTCCTATCAACCACGTGAATTTCGTTGTTTACGGTGCGCCTCGGAAAAGGTTTAATCACGGAAGAATGCCCGAAGAAAAGTCAAGGACGAGTTTCATTAACCGGAACATAGGTTAAAGCGTTCCATCATAGGGATTGTCGGTGGAAAGTCCTGATCGATTTGGTGCACGATGGACGTGGAGAAGATTGCAGTGTTTGCCGGCGTGGGTTTTGCCATCGCCGTTGGCCTTTTCGTTCTGTGGGGCCCGTCGCCCAAACCTAGAAAAAAAGGTGACATCTGGGTTACGTTCATCGAACGTTTATTAGAGAGATTACGTCTTTTTACCCTTTTATCCTTGTGCTTTATTTTTGTAACGAAAGTATAAAGAAAATAATATAACCGTTATCGATATCTTTTACTGTTGGAAAAAAAATAGATATTTAATATATTTTTTATTGTATATCTATTTTTTTTTATTATATATTTTTATTATATAGACCAAATACATATAATTTCTTTAGATTGTTTTTGTTAAGTTTAATTCTGTTAAACATTTATTATTAAAGCACAATTATTATGATTTTAGTTTTATTTATGCTTGATAATTTTACACATTTTTTTTTTAATTATTTTATCTCAATCACAAGAGATATAATCATTTGGAGCTGATGATGAATCTATTGAACCCATTCAGTTATAAATTTCTGTCAAAAATATCAAATGATTTAATTTTCTTTATGTTTACAAATTTGGATCATTATAAAATGTACTTGATATTTATTCTTTTTGATTAGAATTATGTCATTTTGGTTTCTTAAAATTAAGTAATGTCTATTAATTAACATAAATGAGTCACATTAATACTTACAGACTCATGTTAATAATTATGTTACAAATTTTGGCATTAGCGGATTAATAGAAAACAAATTCTTTAATTGTGACTTTATTTTATCTGCTTCTAGGTCGAGTTGTTGGAATTAACAATTTGGGATACACATGTTTCCTGAATTCTCTTTTACAAGCATTGGCTGCTTGCCCCTCATTTATTTTCTGGCTTCAGAAACAGCAAGAAAAGAAGGATAGAAACTTTGCTGACACACTGCTTTCTGTTCTCAAAAGTACATGATTTGATATTATCTTTAGTAGTTGTGGATTTAAAATTGCAATTTTTTCATGAACATTAAATTAATTTCTAAGTTTTTAATTATTTTCTTATTGCTTCGACAATAAGACAGTATTTTTTAAATTAAGATTTTGAAATTTTTTAAATTTTCTATGTTCATGCTTTTATATCTTACATTGTACTAATTTATATTTGATAGAAATTAATGGTTTTGCGGATGACCTATATGGCAATGTGACACCTGTTGAAATCATCTCTTCCGTTGGCTCATTGTGGAATTTCGGACCCGGTTATCAAGATGCTCACGAGCTATTCCACGTGGTTCTCAGTGCGTTAGATGCTGAAATGCAACCTGCTAATAGGGTATTCAATATGTCATTATTGTATGCAACAGAAACTTTCCGTTGCAAAAAAAGATTTTTTAAGACCTTTGTAACTAATTGAAAAGTTTATTCATGATTTCAGAAAGGTTGTTTGTCCGATGCACTGCCACCAAGCCCGGTTATAAATCCAGATGTAAAAGGAACAGGCGATACTTTGAATCTCAGAAGCGCTTCTTGTAATGACATAGCATCAGTAGAGAATAATTCCGATAATCCAAAGGGCTTTGACAAAAACTGCAACAATCAGATGATGACCTCAACATCGTCCATATCCAGTACATCTCCGAGCACGTGCAAGCCTGGTATGATCCTCGCTAGATCCTCAGAGTTGCTATCACGAAGCATTCAAGGCAAAGGTGACTACACAAGCTTCTTCGGATCATGGAAGTCTCTATGTGCCGCCATGTCATTTACTAACATTCCTTCAATGTCAGTGGAGACGCATCCATTCTCAGGCCTCATCACTAGCCAAGTTCAGTGCAGCGACTGTTTCTGGAAGGTATTGTCACGAAAGTAATTCAATTTTTTTCGTTTTTTTTTTACTAATTCCTTTGTTCAAATTTTTTTAATATTATTAATTCATTTGTACACATCTTTTTAATAAATACCAATAATAATATTTTCTTTCCCTCGCTTCCTATTAAATAATTTCTAGTTTTAATAATCTTAAATTCTTTCTAATCTTAATAATGTTAAGTCTTTAATAATACAAAATTTTAATCTTAATTCTCATTTCTTTTTTCAGTCTTCAGTACGTTACGATAAGCTTGAGACATTATCATTACCATTACCACCGCTTGCTTCATCATTCGTATCACAGCATCACTCTTTGGAATGGTTACTGTCACGTTTCGTAGACAGCGAAATTGTGCGCGATGTGCAATGTGATGGATGTTCGTCGCGTTGCACCGCCATCAAGACTCTCACCCTCGGCAAACTGCCCAAGTGTTTATGCTTGCATATTCCGAGGACCACTTGGAGCTCTTCAGGCATACCAATTAAAAGAGATGATCAGATCACATTTCCCGAATTTCTGGTGTTAGATCCGTACACTTACACGGAGACAAAAAAGAGAAGCGCGCAGGTGATTTATAAAAAGATTTATAATAAATTTATCAAAAAAATAAGGAATTTTCAGGAATATTTAAATTATTTAAATTACAACTTTCCTACAACTTTCAATCTAAACTTATGATTAGCCAGACACAGTTCAATTAATTTACTGGAATCTTTTTATTTATAGGGTGACGCGAAGTTTCTTGGTAACAATTTTATAACGATACAGGGTAAACACAAGTATCAGTTGTGCGCGGTAATCGAGCATCGCGGCCCAGTGGACTCCGGCCATTTCGTTTGCTTCAGACGCGGAAATAAAGCGGATCAATGGCTGTATACGTCCGACGTCATTGTCGAGAGCGTGTCATTGACGCAGGTGCTGCTTGCCAGTCCATACCTACTCTTCTATGAACGCATCAATAGCGTTTATCCTAGCTAGGAACAAATTTTTGAAGTGATAGGCTATCTATAGGAATTACAAAATGACGCGTCGATTGATAATCGGACCGCTCTTTTTAGCCATGCTTTCTCTCTTATGCTTTTAGCATTTAAAATAAAACAATTATGTATACAACGGAAATCTGGTGGAAAGATAGAATTACAAGAAATTAAAAACAATTATAGAAAACACAGCTAGAAAGAACGGAGAGGATTTGCGAAATATAAGAAACTGTCGAATTTTCCATAATAAGTTTAATATCGTTCGATGTACGCGATAATACTTTGTTATAACGATACGGAAATAATATAAGGCTCGATAGATTAAAAATCAAACTAAAAATTCAATTTTGTTATAATATACGACTATGAAACGTGCGTCTCTAGATGATATTTTTAGCAGCCATGAAATGTATCGAATATATAATCTAAAATTCCGAAATATTTCATTCGCGACGAATGCGTTAATAATTGCCATTATTGGACGTTGATAAATTTACTGAAATAGTAAGTTATGTGAAATAAAAATTTCTTGCTTCTACAATATATAGATAATAGTAGATTTCTATCAAAAGAGACTATCAATTTTTATAGATCATTTGATCAGTTCATTATTATATTTTAACAAGAAACTAAGATCGTGCCAATAAGAAATTCGTCGAATTAAATTTATTAGGAGATGAATCATATTTTTTATTACGTTCGTATCTGAGGCTCTTGGAGCTCTTGCATATTTAGTGCAATTGTTAAAACTATTACTATTATTGTGTGTGAAGACTGCGAATTTGTTAATTTGTATATATATATATACATATATATCTCGAATTTCCTTTCTCTGATTAGCATAAAGGTATATGCGAATTATCAGAACAAATTTACTTTAAGAATGTTAGATACGTAAACATGTAATTTAAAATCTTATAAAAACTTATTAAAATGGAATAAAATTTAGAACGCAGCATACTTCATTGAAAAATGTAATAATTTTTTCTTCCCAATTTAATTTTTATTAAAATAATTAATTTTATTGGAATAATTTTAGACTTTTTCATAAAACATGCTCTCCTAGCCGAAAAGCTAGAGATTCATTTAGAAAATCTCAGAGAGATGAAAATAAAGAGTTTCGTTTCTCACATCTATCGTTTTATCCTTCTTTAATATTTGATGAACAACAAGGATAAGATGCTATGTCATGCGTGATCAAGCCAAGCGTGGCGACACTGCTGTGCTTCCTTTATGTAAGCCGGTATATTTTACTTCTTTTTTAAACATCGAATAAGAATTATAAAAAACGAATAATCTAAATTTACTAAAATAAAAAAGTGTTATTCTATCAACATAACAGAATATTTATGATGTCACAAATTGATAGTTTATTCTGAAGTTAGGCGTAATGTAGAGAACAGAATACAGGGAACTTCGTCGAGAGAAAAGAACGAAAGGATTAAACTACTTTAACTCCATGCTATAAATAATATATAAAAATAAAGGTATGTAAAAAGTCATATTGCTTATTTGCTACAACAAAAAAAATAAAGTTTTTCAGAAAGTAAATTTGAATGTTTTGAATCATTAACCTTTGAATATAACCTTAATTTTGAAATGTAATTTTAGTATAATAACTGATTATAAAAAAATGAAAGTTCTTTTAAATCTTTTAAATTTTTTTTTGCAAACAACTAAAAGATTACAACTTTTGAATTATATTATTGTAAATGCTTATAGTAAATGAACACTATATAGAAGTTTTGTTTGAGAGGTATCGAATAATATATCAATAATTTCCATTTATAACAGGGATTCTTTAGTTTCGTTTATATTATCACGAACAGTTCTGAGTCTGTTATCCCTCATTGAAGTTGTATAAGCCAACATGACTGCTCCGATCAGCACTGCTATGGACAGTTTAACTGCTGCTCTTAAGTCCAACATTATTCCCAATCAGGAATATCTACTACAGGGATCAGTGTTAGATACCTCTGTAGAAGTACTGCTGCACAGACTTCGTGGTTTATGTGACAATGTTGATCATGGACCTGAAGGTTTCTATGACCATGAGATGTGTTTCAGCATCCGTAGGTAAAATCATTTCTTTCATGCCAATGCTGTTTTTATAGATGTATTTATTTAAAAACATAGATATAGCTATAAAAAATGTAATCAAAATTGATTTACATATTGAGTTGCAAGTATTTGTTTGACTTCTTTTCAGAAGTACTCCGCAGGAACAACCGCTATTACTGCGAGTGCGACGTACTCTGGACGCGAGTAACGCAGACATGCCATGGCAGTTGAGATACATCGGCCAACCTGAACTAGGTGATAAATCTCGACCAACGATTGTTCGCAGTAGCATCGACATTGCTACAAGTAACACCGTAGTGGAGTTTCTTACCGAGTTGGGCTGCAAACTGGACTTCGAATATGTTACTCGTGGTTACATGTTTCGCAAAGGAAGAATGAAGATCACCGTATCAAAGATCTTTAAAGTGAACCAGGGTAAGGTGCCAGAAGGCGTGCCGGAAATGATTTCACAGAGTTATTTGGTTGAACTCAGCGTGTTGGCTCCCAGTGGACAGGATGCCATAGCAGAGGACATGAGGATATTTGCGGAACAGTTACGACCTTTGGTGCAATTGGAGAAAATAGATTATAAGAGATTAGTTCATTAATTATGAGATTTTTTATCGCAAAACTCATTCTTATTGTGTGTAGTGCGACGAAAAATGTTCATCAGTAGCAATTTTTTTAAAAGGTAGAAAAAATTTTTCGTATATTTGAACAAAAAAAATAAAAAAGGCTTCAAGCCGAACAAAATTATTGCTAAATTATAGTATAATTATAAATGAGAAATTTTCAAAATACGTTTTATCCAAAATTTGTAATTTTCAGAAAATGAGAAAGAAAGAAACTATATATTTTCAGAAAATAACAATATGTCAGTATGATGTGAAATATTAAATAAAATTACTAAATAATTGCTAAAAATGTTAAACAAATGCATTTTGTTTATCTCTAGTTAAAAAAAATAGAATGCACTTCGAAATGTCTACGTTTTTTTCAGCATATAAATTAATGAAAAAATGCTTTCTGAATATCTAAGAGTCTTATAATATGAGTCTTTGACTCATTCTGAACATTTTGCTATCTTTAATTTAAAAAATGAAATTTTGGCGTTTTTTTTAAAACGCATTTTGAAAGTCTGCTTCTCAATACTTCGAAATCTCTATATTTACTATGCTGAAGAGGATTCCAAAGCGAATCAAAACGTATAATCAATTTGAAATAATGATAACATTAGCCTTCTCATGAAGTAATAAAAGTTTTGACATTACAGCTTGCGCTTCCTCTCTAATTGCGCTGTATTCTCATCTTGAATTTCTCTGTTTATTTTAAGAGGTAAAATAAGCGGTAAAAATAAGCGACATAATATTGATGTTAAATAAAAACATTTATGTAATGTTACGTTTAATGATAAAACAAATTTTTTTATTAAATATAACATATTATATTACATAAATATTACATAAATATTAATTCGCTCTTACTAATTAATTTATTCACAATTCTTGAATGATATTAATAACAACCAAAAGTCGCACTGCTTAAACAGTCGTCAAAGAAACATAAGATATCAATGTAATAGTTTTAGAATATTGTTTTAATTGTGATTATATTTTAATATTTCTCTCTCTTGTAACACACTCGATATATAAGATTTGCTTTGCCTTTTAATTCTTTACTTACAAAGAAAGGCTCTCAGAAGGACAATTTTAGCAGTCGATCGTTGTTCATTATAGAGTTAAAAGTAAAGTAAAAAGGGTTGAGATTGCCATATGTAAATATGCAATTTATGCAAAATATGCATCTTATGCAAAATATTCAATTAAGTATTTTACATAAATATCCGCTATTTATTTATTACTTATTTTCTATTAAAATTACATCATCGATCTTACATCATGTGATCTTTTTCAATTTTATTTCCCCGAAATTATATAATATAGCGTCTTCCATGAATGCTGATATTTATTACAGTTAAAAAAAGATCATATTGTGACACATTCTGATATACTCTGTCAAATATAGCGTTGAATTTCAAATCGCAAATTAAAAACATACAATCATCTCATCCAAGCTTTTTAATTAATGATGAATGTATTATTTATTTATATGCATTAATTACGTAGAAATAATAATAATAAAAACTCCTCTTTATAATCCACTTCCGTCGCATGAGTCGCGTGTCACGTCAACATTCGACTTAAAAAATTTAGCAAAATTTTGTCGCAATTAAAATTCGATTGATAAATTAATTTAAAAAATAATTTGTCAAATAACAATTAAGATTAATTGTTGATTTAGAAATGTGAATAATTGGAAAACAATTCTCGCAAAAATTGCAGTATTAAAGCTACACTTGAACTACGGAGTACAAGATAATGCCGGTGGCAGCACCGTTGATAGAAAACTGACGATGATGGAAGAGTGGGCGAACAGGTCGATGTGTGCCAAATAGACTAAAATCGACGCCATTTTATATTCAGTGTAGTTGTAGCGTGGATCTGACTCCAATCGCAAGTGATTTTTAAGCAGTTCTAGTAGAACACTCTCATAGGTAAGTATGAATTCTTGGTCGTCAATTTATTGTGCAGAGCGCTGTTGAGATTTTGTTCGACCACTTGATGTTTGTTGGGAGATTCCGCATGGTGTGAGAGTAATCAACCAGAGACGCTTGAGACGCTTGCTCGCTGGCGGGAAGCCGGAATGAAAAATTTTTAGCGATATATCGTGAAATTTTTATGATGGATCGAAAGGCGAGGAGGAAAAAAGACAACGAGACGATCTATTTTAACATACCAATGTAGATACAAGGCTGTTTTTGATTCCTGCACTAAAATATAAAATAAAAACTGCATTAAAATATTGGCTGCGTTTAGTAGAAAAAGCACCTTTGCAGTTGTAAAATTCTTAAATATGATTGGTTTATTTAGATCCAGTGAGGAACTAGGAACAAGACTCGTCACATTAAAGAATTTTACAACAGCTGCAAAATTCCTTTTTCTGCTGAACTCAACCTTTCTCGCTTTTGCCAATTGTCAAACTATATTTATTTGACTTTAAGTTTCAAAAGTGTACACTAGTTTAAGCAAAAATAGTTTAATTTTTTCTCAATTAACAACCAATTCTTCATCCTTTTTTTAGTTCTAAAAATTAGAAAAACATGAAGAGCAAATTGAACGGAGATTAAAGTTTAATGTTTTCTTTCTATCCATTTCTTATATCAAATGAATTTTAATCTTGGTTCAATTTACTTTTCATGTTTTTCTAATTCTTAGAACTACAGAAAGAGGAAGAGTTAGTTGAACCAAGGTTAAAATTAAATTATATCGATGGAAATAGGCATGAAATGGACATAATTGATATTGATATATAATTTATACATTTAATACATTGTTAAACACATTAAAAATTACATGATTATAATGCTGAACATATTGAAGAATAGATGTTAGGCTCGATGATAATAATGCTATTAATTTGTAAATCGCCTCGATTTCATTTATAAGTAATTCGACTTTATTTTATTTTTTATTCATTTATTGAAAATTTATTTATACATATGTATTAAGAATACACAAACTGTATCTCACTTCTTACATTTATTATATTATATTCGCATTGTATCGAATCTTAGAACATAGAGGCCCGTATTCAGAATGTGCTATTATCTTTAAAATTCTATAGTATGCGTAACGTAAATTGCGTAAAAGCATGTTAACACGTTAACATCATTGTAAGCGCGTTCTGAATACGGGCCAGAATATAAACACTGAAAGTGTCATAACTTTAGGAACGACAGCTCAAAATCTTACATAACATAAAAGGCATAATATATAAAAAAACCAAAGTCCTTCATTTTCTTTCCTTTTCACAAAATAAAAGTGATTGATTTTTTTATGCTTTATGTATTATATAAAGATCTGTACTTTGGTCTTTATCTTCAGTAAACAATATTGGATTTTAAAGATAGAGTTGATTTTTTTGCTTGGAATTTTGGTAGATGAATTTAAATTTGTAAAAATAAATACAATTTAATCCATCTTCTAAAAACTTGTTTAAGCTTTTACAAATATGCAAGCTTTTTTTTCAGACAGTCTAGAACACAGGCAGTTTTTATTTACGCAAGTGCATAGATAAATTTCAAAGAGACAAGGACAGATAGATATTGGGAACACTTTCTACATCATTTGAATTGACTTTTAATCTATATTCGAAATATCGAATAAATCTTCAGATTGTGTTATTTATAATATGTTTGTTTTCAGGTTGAAAAATGTCTCGATATCGCGAATGGGATCTATCTTGCAAGGTTTATGTTGGTAATTTAGGCAGCAGCGCTAGCAAACATGAGATTGAAAGCGCATTCAGTAAGTATGGTCCACTAAGAAATGTGTGGGTAGCTCGAAATCCTCCCGGTTTTGCATTTGTGGAGTTTGAAGATCCACGAGACGCTGAAGACGCCGTAAGAGGATTGGATGGAACGTAAGTTTGAGAATTAATAATTCTTATTATATGCAATCTTTATGTATCAAAATACAAAGAATCCTGCATAAAGCTTGGAAATTGAATTTTCGGATTGGCTAAAAATTTGATGTAGATCTTGTCGTTCTGATAAAAAGTTCACAGGTACACTCTACAATGAACCGTTTGATTTCTAGGCGTCATTTTTCAAAACGGATCAATACTTCAATAACTTATTTTCAACGAGTATAGTGCATTCCTATGTCATTATTTGCACTTTCTATATATATTTTTAAGTACCGTGGAGACTTGTTGTCAGAACAAAGATTACGTTATAAATCATATTAATTGTTAAAGGTGTAGATAGTTTCTACAAATGACAAATTAGAAATTTATTTAAAAATTGTTGTAAATTACTGATTAATACTTTTATATTCGAGTCAGATTTTAGGAAGATAACTTTATTACAACGAACTGTTAAACATCAGAAACAAACAGCGAAAATATAAGAGAGCTTAACAACTAATAAAATATGAACATAGTACTTTGTTGTGCACTATTCATGCTAATCATACATTACACGCATGCTCCTTCCAGCGCTCTCACACAGTCACAACATCTGCATGAACTCACTAGATTATTCATATTAATAACACTCCTCCTTAATCTAGTGAGTAAAAATAAATAATGTTTTATTGATTGTATCCAACTACTTCTAAACCTTTGAGACAAAAAAGATGTTTGGCATTACTTAATGATTTCATAGAAATATCTGCTATTATTCTATCAATAGATTCATATTGTAAGTATTATTTGTTTATTTTCAATAGCTTCTCTGATAAAATGATATTTAACATCTATGTGTTTAATTTTATTATGAAAAATTGAATGCTAATCTGTGAATAGGGTAAAAAACATGTTTTCAAGAATTTAAAACATGTTCAATTGATATTTTTAATATGTTAACATTTTTTTTTATAGTACTGTTTAAAGTATATTTGAAACATTAAAAACTTTTAAGAAAAAACACAATATATTTTATATTTTCTTAAAAAAAAAACATTAGTCTTTATCAACTCTGTCTCTGAGCGCTTTGATTATTATTAAAATTATCATTAAAAATTACTATAGGTTCATTACAATTTAT